TCAAACCAAAAATATGGTGTCAATGTGATTCACCACTACAAGAATAACCCCGCATAATACGATGTTTCAACATTGTACACTACATTTTTCAATTTTCAAGCATACAAGTCATTATAACTTTACCGGCCAAATTATTATAACCAATATTTCACAAAATTTCCAATAATTCTTTCTATGTGTTCTCGAAAAAAAGAGTTTTCTCGTGATAATACTTAACAAATTATTTAATTTGTTTGCCAATATTTAAAGGTGTCAAACGGACGGACTGTCCGTCTTTTTAGCCCGTCCGTCCAGGGCTCTTGAAATTTCTGAGGGTCCTGAACGGACGGACGGACGGACAAGAAAATTTCTGAGGGTACTGAACGGACGGACAAAAAAAAATTCAAGAGCCCTGGACGGACGGACGGACGGACAAGGTGCTTGTCCGTTGACACCTTTACCAATATTTTTGTATCAATTTATAAATTTCCATTGAATTTCAAATATACATTTTGATAATAAATTTTATTTCTAAACATGCATTTAACTAATTAAATTATCAAAAACAGCAACAATAACTGTTTTCTTCTTTTGAAATTGAAAAAAATTTGAAAATTGAACTATATGTTGTGTATATTCATATCAATTGAATAATCGATGGGAATTTTCGTGAAATTTTTTCGATGAAATTTTTTTTTTTTTTAATTTGAATTTTTTTTTTCAAATCGTGAAAAATATTGTATGAGAATTTTGCATGTCCGTCTGTCCGTCCATTTTTGCCCGTCCGTCCGTCCGTTCAGAGCCTTCTGAATTTAGTTGTCCGCCCGTCCGTCCGTTCAGAACCCTGTAAATTTAGTTGTCCGTCCGTCCGTTATTTCTAAACATGCATTTAACTAATTAAATTATCAAAAACAGCAACTTCTTTTGAAATTGAAAAAAATTTGAGAATTGAACTATATGTTGTGTATATTATGTGTTCACACGAATTTTTGTTGAATATGGTAATGAAAACATTACGTATATGCTAAGGATGAACAGCGTGTTAATGAGATGCAAAATTTGTATCGCTACTTTCGAATGTGTCTTCGTTAATTCACAAGAATCTAGAATTGGATTGTGGTCATGCAAATACCATGACATAGCACACATTAGAGTAATGACGACGAAAGAAAATAACAAATTTAACACCGGACTAACATTTCATTTAGCAAACATGACAAGAGCCGAATCAAAGAAAAAAATGTATGGTCACAGTTTCTTCGCATTTGTACGCGAAGTAATAAAGTCGTTTCGAGTGTGATTCAGCTTTGAATTGCAGATAGACAATTAAGACGAAAACAAATAAATTCAACTTGAAAAAAATAGACCACAACCATCTTTTTAAAAATGACATGTTTTTCTTGTTTTAATTTGTTGGAATTGTATTGCAGCAGAGATCGCTGAAAAATATTTTCAACGTATACTTTTATGCGATATTTGTGATGAGTTGCCAAACGGCAAATAGAAGATAACTCAGCCTCTATTAGTCTTTGTATAAACATATAGGTAAGGTCAAACAAGAAAAATAGAACGCCACCTGATGATTGCTTGCAGAAACAGAAAACTATGCACATAGTAAGCCATAACGAGTGCGCGTCTGTGTTAATTCAAACACTAGAAGAATGGCACATTGCTCTCAGTCCCCAAGTGACGCTCCTTTTTCTGTCATATCAATGCTTATAAGACTAAGATAACTGTCTGCTTTAGCGGTGAGCGAACACATCGCTGTTCTTTGAAATCTCAAAATTTTCATTGTAATATTTTTGTTAGAACAGTTGACACACGAAGAGCAACATTGAACATATTATTCATGGCTATAAACGAGTTGTAATATTCGTTATTTTCATGATAATTTGTGTAATGTATTTTTTGTAAATAAAAACGAAATAATTCTCGGACCACACTAACTGGTTCAAGTTAACGAAATTGTGTTGACATTTCAATCAGTTTCGTCATTCGTTTATTTTGAGTTTACCTGAGGCGGCTGTACATTAATAATTGGAGCTGTGGACGCTCATTTTCTGCCAAAATACGAAATTATTCGCGTACATTCAGAAATCTTTGGAAATCTTTGCACATATAATATGCCATGTAATTGTGAGCGATATTCGAAAATGTGTATGTTCTTGGATTGGTTTAAGTTCGTTATCAATGCACTGTTAGAACACTTGGTGGAAGTCATCAAGTTGGAGCAACGCGTGAGATGTGGTCTGCATATTAACCCTCGAAAGCATTTTATGTTGGCTCTCCAAGTAGAATTTTTCCAATTGTCCGAATTGCCTATAACTAAAATGCCAATTTTCAACTCAGCAAATTTTCAAAATTCAAGTCCGCTCAAAGGCAGATCTCTGCATCTTATGTATTTTTCGTATATGAGATTTAACGAACTGATCGAGAAAGATCGCTCGAAATGAGAAATGATGCTGAATTCAAATGTCAGACTTATTGTTTATTGATTCGATTCGATTCGATGCATTAGAAAGCGGTTTTCCTTTGGACACAACATAAAAGTTGCAACTTATTTGGTCGAACTTCACCTGGTGAGGATAGTTCGTCCATTTACGTAGTAAAAAGGAATTCTATTGAGAGACCTAACTGAAGATGGATAAGTTCAATGATCAATAGCTATGAACAGGTCATAAGATATGTCCTAATTGCATATACCGTGTTTTAATATTTATTACTATCTTCTCCTAAAATTCTTAGCTCAATTCGTCTTCTTATATCTTGTATTGGTTCATCTGTTCCCCAGGTTTTGATGTTTTTTAACGTTGGAACGAACCGGAATGAGCATAACGTACGGTACGGGGTCCTTTATGAAAGCCAAGCATTTAGTAAAAGTAGAAGGTAAAGCAAACATGAAAGGAAAGATAATCGAAAAGAAGTGCAAAAGAGGTGAAAAATGCTTGTGTGAACAAGGATGAGAATATGTTGTCGATATGTAGGCAAATGTATGCGAGTTCTATTGATGTTCAGGAAAGAAAATATACGCTTTGGTTTTATATAGAAGAAACCTTCTCTCTTTTTTTATTTTAAATTCACTATTCCTTCAAAATAAAACGAAAGAAGAGGAGGAAAAAAAGATGTGTAAATCATGCAGCCACATCACTTTCGTGGCATGCATTCATTCGAGCCAGTGTGCATGGCTGTTCTCATGAATACGTGTGCGTTTAATGCTTTAATGGCCAACAACTACGTACTCATACACCTACATTTTTTTGTGTTCAGAGTTTGTTCGATTCTCTTTTCATTTCGATTCGCTCCTCTTTCGTGTGTAATGAATCAATGGGAGAACAGACGTACATGTACGTAATGAGTGTGTTCTCACTTCGGGAACATTTGATGTTAATGCACACGACCAATAATATTAAAGAAAATGGTCTCATGAGATTTTTTTCCCTCGTTATATATTTTGTTTGAAATGTGAAACGTATGTGTGGAAAAACGAAAAAGAAAATGTATGTAAAAAACTGGTGAGTAAGAGGCTTACGCATAATGTCTATACGAACTCAGGATGTTTTTTTGTAGTTGTGTGTGTTTATGTGGTATGGTGTGGTGTGGTATGGTTTATTGTACATCAACTTGACTACATCGCACCGATGTATTTTGTCGAAGCAGCAGAATAAAACACAAATACGCATAAACGCCAATATGGACAATTTGTTGTACAGCGTACACGCATCCATAGACTGCATAGTGTGGATTTTCGACTCCGCACTCGCATCTCATGGCGACAACACACTACACAGCAGCAACGATTTTTTGATTAGATTTTGAAGTACTTTTTCACGTTATTATGTTGTCACTCACACATCCAAATTGTTGGGAAATAGCGGAGACAAATTCTTCGTAATACATCATTCTATTTAGCAGGCATTTCATAGGGGATCTTTGACGAGCGGATGAATGAGTGGAAGGAATGGCATGTATTTTCCTCTCTCACTCTCACATACACAAACACACACACACACACAACATATGAAAAGAAAATAAAGGGAAAATGCACGATTCCAAATGGTATGGAACTGGTGACTGCCGCTTCTGAAAAATTACAAAGTTTCCATTCTGATTCCCCGATATCTTCAGTACTGTTGCTGCTTTTTCACTATAGTTTGTGTGCTGTTTTTTTGTTCAAATATCTGAGCTGCAGCAGTACTGCAAGCGTTTCAACGTATTGGCCTGTGCATGTATTGATTCAAGTGATTGTTTTCATCAGTCAACTGAATAAACGACATCGTGAATACTATACACTGCTACAAACACACGCATACAGTCACACATAATCTTTGTAAGAGAATGTGTTATTTTTTTCTGTTATTTCTTTATTATACCTTCTCTTAGTTCTTTTCTTCATCTTAATGTTGAGCTTGTGTGCGTGATGTGTGTGTGTGCTTCCTCCGCACAACAACCATTTATATACCATTTTCTCTTCTGCCATGAAACTACCAAACTCGCTGGTTTGAAACCCGAAAATGTATTGCATACTTTTCTCTGTTATTCATTCTTGTTTGGCTGCGTCTCTACAGTCAAATGTACATGTGTGTGTGTTTATGATATAGATAAAAAGAAAAACAAAATCAAGTAATATTTTCACCTTTGTATTGTTTTTATTATTGTATTCCATAGTTGTTTTCAATCGTCGGTATGAATCTATCCCTAACATGAACAAACCAGCACTTGACTGAGACAGAAAGTTCTCTGTATTTCAGTGTTACTTGCGTCGACAAAGGCAACAAATGGAATATTTGAATCAAAAATTATGCCACTCAAAATTTTAGTCTGAATAATGTGGTTTATTTGTATTTCATTGTAAATTATGATTTACAACAGGATTGTTGGCCATAGTCTGACACCATTTGGAAAAAGTATCATAAATTGGTCGGCAACTGAACGCCGATATATAATCGCTCTCAATTCGAAAAAATGCAGGACTAAACTTAAATCTAAACAGTCTAGCGACCTAATAAAATTTGTATACGTACATGAAGCAGCATATAAACCATTAATAATTTTGATACAACGTTAGCTTGATCGAACACTTTACTATTTGGCTCAGTGGAAACACAATAACATGAAATCGTTGCACTGTTTTTTCTTCTCCTTTGAAATCACGATCAATGAATGAGTTTTATGAGTATCCTGTGAGAGTGTTTGTCGCCAAATTGTCCAGATTTCAAATCAGTTTAAAATCAGGTAGATGGTAAATGGGTTGGACAGGTCAGCGGCAAAAATGAATGTGCTGATAGATTGAAATCACACACGTCGAAGATGACTGCTTCAGAAATAGCAATATTCTGTAGCTAATTGTGGGCCACAATCTCAACACGTTCCTTATTCACCGTTTGGCCATTGGTTGAAATTTTTCATTTGGTACACTGCACTACGTACAATTCGTTGCATAACTAAAATGCTGGAATCGTTGTACTCAATTTTGTTTTGCACAAATTAAACTTCTTGAAAGTTATTGGTAGATTATAGATGGTGCGATTTGGTCAAAGAATGTCGATACAAAAAAATCCAATGCAGACGAAAATTACCAGATGAAAAATATACACTTGCACATAAAGTAAAACGAAATAGAATTGAATCGTAATTTATAGGTAAATTAGTTCACACACAGAGAGAGAGATAGATGATGGGTGAATATAGCGATGTACGGAGAATTTCATTGATTTATTCCTTAGCCATTTATCAAGAGTTTTCTTATTAAATCCATAGAGCAATCACTGTACATCGCAAATGCCCATTGTCGATCGGTATTTATTAAAACTTCTCTCGCTTTCTCTTACGTGAGAATAAAAACAACACCAATAATGGAATTGCAATCCCAGGTCGGATTCTCACTGTAGCGAATTTTGGTTGATTTGTTTGCGTTTCGTATATTTATTTTGCGTCGACAAAACTGAAATATGTTCTATTTGTGTCTCACTTAAAAAGTGTTCGCTCCTCTTTTTTTTCACTATTTCTATTGCTACCACTACTGCTATCACATCACAAACTCAGAACAGTTCTCACTCAATGTAACGCCAAATTCAGTGTTGACTCCGATTTTCTTCTTCTTTATTCGCGTTGTATTTTTTTCTTCTTACTTTAGCCTTTCGTTTGATTTGTTTATTTTATTTTCGCTTGTTTCGATATATCGTTTGTCGGGAATTGTTAGCACATAAATAGGAAAGGTATCATCATAAATTGATTTCAAATATCTCGTTAAATTGTCTGAACGAAAAATAACAACGAAAAAATAATAATGGAAGGAAAAGAATTTTTTCTGTGGCTGATGGCTGTTCTTATATTATTATTGTATTAGAAAAAAGCAACGCGCGATACGATCGATACAATGGATATCTCGCAACTAACTCAATTTAAGGCGAAAGTATGCGAGTGAACTAAAAAGAACATGAAAATGTAAAGAAAAAATCTTTAGCACGACGAAACGTCCATGTATGATGAATACACTTTTCAGAGTATTTTTTTTTTCTTTTAATTTTCATCGAACAGATACTGTCATTTTGCAGAGATGATGAAATTTAGCACAAATAAAAAACAAAACATTGGAAAAAGTTAACATGATCTGGTTTAAAATTGGAAATAACTCTGGAGTAAACCTTTAAAGATTTCGTCCATTTTGATGTAGCTACAAAAGCCAGCACCACATACAAATGCGTCCAATAAACGTAGACAGGCGCAGTTTCAACGAAAGCAATGGCCAACATACCGTATGAATGTTTTATGTATTGCTTGTGTATGTGTAAATGAAAGCAACCGCCACCGCTGTCTTCCATATTGAATTGTGACCATTTATGACTGTAAAATACATACATATATACATGCATACTATTGCATGCGCTGCAAACATTGGGAGCTTGTTATTGAATACCTAAATTCTACTTAAATCCACGAGCTAAAGTAATTGTAGTCTTCAGATTTATAGCTGAACATGATTAAAAGTTGGTGAATAAAAATACGAATATCTTATTCAAAAATGCTAACAGTTGTATAGCACAATGAATACTAAATGGAAACAAAACCGATTTGAAAATTACGAGCTATGGGCAATAATACTTGAAAACCAATCTGACATATTAACGCCATCTGTACGTAAAACCTAGCTATAAACTATTTCTTCTTTTTCTCTGCAATGGAATTCATCATTTATGGATGAATATACACTATTTATTTTATTTATAGATACATTTTAAGTTTCGCAATAGCAAAAATCAAATACGTTAATAAACACTTTCTTCAATCATTTGTTTAACCAATTTACAGTTGTTCGTCGATTGATAGTTTTTTTTTCTGTTTTGAAGAATAATTAGTGTGGTCGTATCGAAATGTTTGAGTTGAACGTTATGCGAACGCTGTGTATCAAACAAATCTGACAGATTCCAAGAAAAATTTCGTTGACGTTTCAGCAACACACACTCACATGACAGATTACGATAGCTCGTGTGAAGAAAGATGTACAAACAACAAAGAGCGTATAGTGAATTGTTTCGGGTGACAGAAGTGGATTTTTCATCGCATTTCAAAGAAATCGTCCGTTCGGGTATTGATATACATATCAGTTTTGTCGTCACATTTTCCATGTCCCAGTCACTATCCAATGAATTTAGTAATCACGAAAACCAGAATACAACTAAAACCCATACAATTTCACACAAAATTGAATTAAATCCATAGAAATTTGAACTTGTTACAAAATCATCAGAAAATTGTATACTTGGTTGAATGCAAATAAATCTATTCTTCCAATTTGTTTTTTACCAAAGCAAAACAAGATAAAAATTAAATGTGATCGGTAAAAGTCGATTCGAGTTGTGTATACAATTGATTGTAAACGATATAATTGACCGAATAAAATATAATTGTTATCTTTAATTTAGAAAAAAAGTTTTGTCGTGTAATATTTACGAGATTTGGCTGTTTTTCCTGATGATTGTACAATTTTATCATAACTGTCACCGATTTTAATAATTTTGATTAATCACATTTCAACAAATAAAATGCAAGATTAAGGTAAATATATTCGAACACCTGTATGGAAAAGAAAAAATAATAGGTAGTATCGATCAACGTTCAGACTTCCCAAAATAGAAAACCACTGCTAAAAATTACAAATTTCGTACAAAGTTCTACTTCCATTGTGCACCACACTGTGAGAGGGAAGGAATTTTATGTCAATTTTTTGGTTTTGTTCAGCGAAAATTCCTGAAGGATTACATTGCAATCACACAATTATTCACTGGTACAAATCAAATTCACACTTGTTCAATACTGCCAAACATTGCCGTTAAAATGTGTGGTGCTATGTTGTTTGGCATCGTTTTGGATTACGTCAGCTGCAAAAACGCCTCTGACCCGCGATAGTTTAGATAGTTTGGAACCTTCGCTTGATCTCACTGTGTTTTTTGTATTGTTTTTTATTGAAGAAAATGAAAAAATGTCTGTGTAATGAATGTGCCGACCAACGATAACGTTATGGTTTCATTCACTAGTTAATATCGATTTTGCATGCCGGGACGTAATCGATTCTCCCGTTGATTTGTTATCTATCAATTTGTTCTACGCCAATCACACACATCCACGGCACAAATAGTAACGATACTTTTTCTTCACTCGGCCACCTTTTTTCTAGTCAGCTAATTTTTTTTCTTCGCAGTGTGGGACTAAGTGCCAATATTTTTCTTTTTTTCCTCCCATTTTGTTCAACTGAAGAATTAGAAGTGGTACGCCTAAACTACTTACTCGCAGAAAAAGCAGTGAAACCGAATGACAACAGTTGCATTTAAACTTTTGTTTAATAAAACTATTTTGTATCAAATAGTGCTGTGCAACACCTTCTCCACCAATTTCTATTTCAAAAATGTAAATAGCTTTTTTGGAGTTTCAATAATTCTGTATGCAAACAATAAACTCTACAATACGGGACAATGTTTTTAATATTTATCATAGTCAGAGTGGTTGATATTTCATGCCAAGTGAAACGGAAATTATCCGTTCGTATTGTATCTAACTGTGAGAATCAATTTGGAATAATGGACTGATCGATTTGTTTATATATTTGTTTGTATAGGGTTATACTGTACTACGCTTAAATATGAATTTTGATAATCTAATTCCAACGGAGAACTTAGTATTGAACATTGTCAAAGACAAACTTCGACACGATGAGAGTGTCCTATCGGTAAGTGGACATATGATTTTATTTATGATGGCTCAAATTTCAATCATTTGTACACAAACCATAGATATGTGAGACTTATCAAATAATTGGCGGCGAGTATAAAGATCGTTTGCTAGCACTCGTTGCTCATGGAGATACAGCGGCAATCTTTGCATTTGCATCATCGAAATGGCCCCCAGAACTATTTTCCGATCTAACAATTGAAAGTGTTTATCCGCTGAACGAAGATTTTACGCTGGATACGAGTTCATCGAGTAACTTCACTGAGAATCAATTTAAGATACATTCGTCACAGGGTCAATCAGTCTACTATTACTATCCATTAAAGTCAGCTCATGCTAAAAGTTTTGGTAGTTTCCATGAGGATTGCAAGCAAATTATTGGTGCGCCAAAGATGGATGATCCTGAAAAATTCAAGTGGCTGCAAAAGTATCGACGTGAAGATCAGTCAGCCATAGATAGAAATATAGCCGATGGAACAATCACATTGCAAAGGCGTGAGTCGAAATTTCGTGAGGAGCTTGAGAAACGAGAATTTGAATACATCATCCATAAGGATTTCACGTAAGATTTTTTTTTGTACAATAGACGAACATTTTCGCTTGATTTTATCGTACTTTTGTTTGTAATGTCACGTTTTAGTATTTACACGGCAACATGGAATGTGAATGGACGACCATGTGATGACGTTGAACTAACGCCCTGGCTGTGTGCAACTGAAAGTCCACCAGACATTTATGCGGTTGCCTTTCAAGAACTAGATTTATCTCCCAAAGCAATAACATTCAGTGAAAATCGACCAGATCCTATTTGGATGTAAGTGATCCGTATGAAATATTGTTTGATTTTTTGTGTTGATTTATTTAAATTAATGTTCAATTCTTTTAGCCGAAAAATTATGTCGAGTTTGAATCCAAATGCAAACTATGAAGAATTGGTGTCGGTACGTTTAGTTGGTATGATGTTAACTGTTATCGTTCGACAGGAGCTACGTAAAAATGTTCTGAGGTATTCAACTCAAGCGGTCGGAACGGGTGCACTTAGTTTTATGGTAACGTTTTTTTTAAAAATGGAATCGATCTAACAAAATTAGCTTAATACAATTAAATATTAACCAAAAACCAAAATGTAGGGCAACAAAGGCGGTGTCGGTGTGAGCATGCAAATAAATGAAGCGTTTATTTGTTTTGTGAATTCTCATTTGGCAGCTCACTCAAGTGAGATTGAACGGCGAAAGGAGGATCATGACGACATTATTCGTCGCATGCATTTCGAATTCGGTATATCGCGTCGATCGATCGATGAACACAAGTAAATTTTATCCGTTTTGTTGCAATTGCAAAATTCCTTGCATTTTTTATTTGACAATTTGATCATTTACAGCCACATATTCTGGATTGGAGATTTAAACTATCGCCTTGTTGACAATCCACCGCGTCAACTGTTTGACGTTACCAACTTCTCGGAAATAGTAAAGCATGACCAATTGTATCAGGAAATGCAACGTCAGCGTGTGTTCCTGAATTACACGGAAGGTGCCATAAATTTTCGGCCCACTTATAAATATGATCCTGGAACAGATGATTGGGACAGCAGGTGACTGTTTTGTATACCAATTGAAGTTTTACTACTATTTACTGTAACACATTGTAATGCTAGTTATTTTTGTGTGTAACAGTGAAAAATATCGAGCACCAGCCTGGTGTGATCGCATCTTATGGAAAGGTGAACGCATCAGTCAACTAGCGTACAACAGCGTGATGTGTTTGCGTTTGAGCGATCACAAGCCCGTTTACGCTGTCTTTTCAACGGGGGTAATTCAAAATTCATTGGTAAAATTCACATACATACATATTAAAACATCTACTTTTAATATCAGATAAAAACGAAAGATGAACAAAAGTACAAGTGTGTCCACGAAGAGGTCCTGAAGAGAGTAGATAAATATGAAAATGATAATCAGCCACAAGTGAGTAAAATACCAACTACAACTGAATTCGCTAGAATGAAAACCACTTTTTACGTGCACGGAAAATACGCAAAACTTTGTTTTTTCTGAATTTTCATACAAACCATTCATATGTCTCTCTGTTGTTTGTTCCGCAAGCACGATCCGAGCGGAATTCGCCAAGAATAAATCGATTCACCGTTCCGAAGGGACGATTGCTAAAAGTGATTTTACTTCCAGAACATATAAGAACAGGCCAGATCCACCTGCTCCACAAGAATAACTTCCAGCTCATTTTTTACTAGTTTTGTTTTCGGCTTATATTTAAAAATAATGTTTATAAAATTCTTGTGGAGCAGGTGGATCTGACCTGGTCCAATTTGTTCTGGAAGTAAAGTCCTCCAGTACTCATTCCCTACGAGAATATTAAATTGCATTATTTTTTTGAATTCCACTCGGATCAGCCTCAAATTTGAATTGGTAAAACCGGAAGGGAATATGAACTTTGTACTGCAGATGCGTTACAACAACGCAACGCATGAAAAATATCGGATAAATTTATTTGAATAAATCTATGTGGAGACGTTGTTTTTATTCTATTGCATTCAATTGTAAATAAATGTAAAATCTTGAAACTAGCTATTTAATGTGTGTAAATAGTAACCTGCGATTTGAAAACAGAAACCCAGCATATTCTGCAATAGAAAGGCAAAAAATAAATGAAATAAAATTTAGCAAAAAAAAATAAACAGTTTGATCCATTCACCAAATCGATATTGGTGCTACACTTCATTCACTGACACAATATTTCTTCAATTTTTTTTATTTTATGTTCTTATTATAAACTGCACTACTTTGTAGTTGGATTGTGGTATTGGGCAAATGCATTCGCATAATCTAGAATTTGGAATGGATGCTGCTGCGGTACTTTGAACATACGTACAATTTGTACGGTACAAAATCATCAAATTTAATAACTAGTCTTAAGACATTTGTCATTTCATTTATTTGTTTTTGCTAAAGACTGCCACTAACTGTTGAGATGCTAAAACTGATTTTCTATCATAAGTCCATCTGCTACTTGCTAAACAAACATCAAAATCATTAGAAGAAACCATTTTTGTGTTCAAAATTAATTGTAAAGAAAATAAGTTTGTAATAATAATAAAACTGCTATCGTGCAACTTGTAAAAAAAAACTCTAATAATATTCCCCGGAAATACGCCAGGCTTCCAATAACAAAAATTATCTTAACCGTTCCAATAAAGAATAGAATACAATTTGGTAAGCGTTTTCGGTTTCACGAGTCTGTACTGTATTACCGACTTCACCATATTAATGCATATGTCTAAAAACTTTTTTATCGGTATAATGTCAATTTATTTATTATTAAAAATGGATTTTTCTTTTTTCTTCTGGCATAGATTACCGTGGAAAAGACGGATATTGATTTTGACATTATACAATTTAATGAATCGTACACGCGTGATATCACCGTTGCCAATAACTGTCATTTGCCCGTTCGATTTGAATTTTGCGGTAAGGAGGAAAATGGGAAAAAAATTTGTGAGCCATGGTTGCACGTGGAACCAACTAATGGTGAACTGATAACGGGCGATAGTTTGAGCATTCGTTTCAAAATATTCATTGATGTTCACCATGCTTGGCGGATGCATCGCAAACAAAAAGCGAGCAATATAAAAGTTCCATTGGATATTCTAGTATTGCATGTGGAAAATGGACGTGATATATTCATAACAGTGTTGGGGGAATACCGACCAAGTTGTTTTGGATTTTCAGTTGAGACATTAGCACGACTGCCGCAACCAGTGTATGAGCTAAACCTTAAGGATTTACTAAAAATTGTAATACAAATGCCGAAAATCAAAATTCTAGACATGGCCATAAATTCCTTTTCTTTCGTATTCATCCGATAGGAATGTGACCTTAACAGTAGCTATACATCTTCTGTGTACAAAGTATTGAATATTCCGCGTGAGATTTATCAGCTGGTCGATTACTTGAATCGAAATGGACTTAAAACGCCGAATCTGTTCACATTGGAGCGAAAATATGTGTCCAATCCACTTATAAATGATATTCGAGATTGGTTAAATTTGTGGTCGCCGGCCGATTTTCGTAAGTGTTACCAAATAGAAATATCATTCATATGCTTGGAATGTGTGGAGAAGAAAATTTGTACCGATCATTTTTTTTTTGACTACATCCCAAGTAACATTTATGTAATGCTTTCTACCGTTAAATAAAGTAATGCTTTTGCCCACTTCAGTGGTGCATTTGACCATTAATTCACATACAATCCCGTCCGAATCGGATGAAATTCGGGTATCATCCAACTGTACGCTACACTCGAATCACATCCATTCGTGACGGTAATAATGGGTGTGAAAACTGACTGACTGAGAATTATATATGTACAACAGATTTGATCGTTTTCATCTTTGAATCAATTGAGAAATCAGAACCGTTGTGCAACATTTTCAATTGTAAATGTCACTTGAAATCTTCATTCATTAGCTCTAGAAATATGCACGATATAATAATCATTTTGTTTATAATGTCATTGGAACTTCTTCTCATTTTGTCCAAGAAAAATGCATTGAAAATGGTCCGTTCCATTTTTTGTTTGTTTATATATTCGTATAAAAAACTGTCGAAGCAAAAATATTTTGCTTCGCTTTGGAGATTTCCTTTTCTGTCTCCGATTCGTAAAACAGCAGTTTTGACGCAGCAACCGTCACGCCATGCCAATGTGGTGTTCAAAGGATGAAACATTGACGGCGAACGATTCGTTTTGCAAATTCCACTCAGCACAGCGGCTCATTGGTGTAGGACATTGACAAGAAATTGGCGCACATTTTTTTGAGTGAACATTCAACGAAAAAATGCAATTTTTTTTGCGAAATAGTTGCTTTAATTGCGAGACCAAAACCCTTTTACAGGTATGTACGGCTAAGAATAGAGTTTTTGCACAAATTAAATTGTGGATTATTTTGGAAATTGTTGTTTTGTCATACCGGTTCACATTTCCATGTAATGACATGTTCAAAGCGGGAAAAATCGCAATATTCTAGACCGATTGCATTGATTGACGCGAATAAATCAATATAAATTAATTCGATCACAACAAGTTTTCCCATTTTTTTTTTGCCAATTACAATTAATGGATTGTGGTTTTTTTTCCAAAGATTATTTCGCAATTTTGAGGCGAGATCCGCATTGAGACAGGGAGACAGAGAGCAAACGAAGCCTGATCTATTCAAATCGTTTGGATTCATACGAAGTGGACTTTTTGTGACCGAGGTGAGTTTAGTGAACGTAGAAAATTGCAACAAATTAGCGTAAAATCATGTTTTTGCGTGTGGTGTACATGTTTTGACATGATTTATGGCGACGGACTGATGAATATCATCACATTGTTATCGTATTCGTTTAAAGCGATCAATCAGTTAGCCAATTTCACAATCGCTTGCAACAAACATTTCATTCGTTCTACAATTTATTTTCTCTCGTTTAGATCCATCGCGATGGCGAGGCGTAAGCGGCACAATAAGACGTTTGGTAGGCCAAGGAAGAACAAAGTGCAGATGAAAAAGCACTCCATTGTGAAGAAAAAACCTGTCAATCGGAAAGAAGATTCAACAAAACAGTCGACAGAAAATGGCACAATCGAAATCAGCGCGATCAAATTGGCATTTAATTCGATAATTAATACGAACTTAACAGAAACAGAAAGAGGATTTCTGATCCATAAGTTCTTCGAAAAATGTTTGAATGCTACGAAAGTCATGCATCTTGCATCGATGTTAATGCTCTACAGAGTCAACGAAGCATTTGATGATGACAATTTGAACTTCTTCGTGAATCAAAATGGAGCAAATGTGATAACAGACTGTTTCAACTGTGTCACATCGGACAACATCAAAGATCCACTCACAGCCCAAATGCCAGACGCATTTCTCGCGATGGTGACACAAGGTAGCCCCAACTTTGAATGGCCACGCCGCCATCAAATGACTCGCCAAGTTTATGCTCTCAAGGACCAGTATGTGGCCAATGTGAAGACAAATTTGGAGACGCACTGTTGGGTGAGATTGACCCACTTTCTACGTGTAAAGTGCCATGAATTCAATCACAAAGGAAGCCCACTTGAGGTTATTTATAATGCATCATACTTGCCTTTCGATGACATTGACATTCGAAATACGATGAAAAATTTGATGTACAATGAAGATTGGACATATGATGATGATGAAAGTCGAAAGGGGAAGATGGACATACTGTTTAAGGAAGTGTCTGAGCTTTGTGGCCCATCATTCGTAAAATGCTTCACAATGTACGAATACATTCAAAAGGACTGGTTCGAGTCTTTGTGGATGTGGATAGGCATTCAACGCATTATGGACAAATTTTTGATCGATACGGCTCACCTTCGTCAACAGTGGAAAGCATACGATCGTGATCCAGTGAACAATCGAGAGCCGTCGGTACCGAAGATACCAAAAGTGAAGAATTTCGCCGCTATTCCACTCTGTGATACAAAACTGAAGCACATACCATTCGACCATAATGACTTGATTGATATCATTGGCCAGTTGAGAAATGAACGGGGATGGGATATCCGTGCTGATTATCGTACATACTACAAGCAAGGCGAGAACAAAGACGAGGCATGGGGAATTGTGTTCGATATGGACAAAATCAGACAGCTCAGAACCGGTTCGAAAGAGTTTTACCACAAAATTCAAACCAACAGTAGTGCCGTGTCGGTGTTGTTTAGCAGACCCAAACGCAAAGGAGCCGGCGTGACTCTGTCTGAAATCAAAGCAAAGTACGAAAAGCCAGTCAGCAAAGGCGGTTACAAGTATGAGTCAGGAATTGATCCCGGCCAGAAAACAAAAATGGCCTGCGTGCGTCGGACTCTCGCTACTGGAATTGAAGTAAGTTGAAATATCATATGAAAATTAACATAGATTTGCATTGTTGTTGTTCATTTCACAGACCAACATCAAATTATCGAGTATTCAATATCACTGGGGTGCGCGACAAGGAATGCGCGACAAACAGGCCACGAAAATGACCAGAAAGTACGTGCACAAAGAACAGCGCGACTTGAAAAGCTATCCGATCACATCCGTATCGCCGCGAGGATCACAATGGAAATCATTCATTAAGCACAAAATCAAAATGCTGACAGATTCATTGGCTACATACGCCAGAAGAAAATACGCACAGCTATCGTTGCACAAGTACATCGAGTCTAATCGCGAAATGGATTTGATGGCTAAACACATAACAAAGAATGAGACAGGAGTTGTGTTCCTTGGTGATGCGGCGTTCCCATCAAATTCGAAAATCGGTGTGAAAAGAACAAAACGAACACCGGATCAGCGAAAGTTCATAGTTAGCCTAAAAAAGGACGGCAAAACGGATGTTGTGCCTACACCAGAGCCGTATACATCACAAACCTGTGCCAATTGCTTGCGGCGATTTCCAAGAAGCACAAAAAGTGACCGATTCAAAGTATGCAAAGATTGTCGCCCACACAAGGATGTGAGACTCCCACCGGTTATCGTGACTGATCGAAGCAGACGGCGCAAGCAACGTGATCGAAAACAAAATGCCAGCCAAAAGCCAACAGCAAATGTAACTAGAGCCGAAAGAGCTGAGAAGCACCGGGAAAACCGCCGAAGTGAGCGTGAAAGCCACAATCCAGAGCAATTGGATACCGAACAGGCAGTGAGACGGTACAATCGACGCATACGACGGCGTGAACTACGTCAACGACGTCGAGTTGCAGGCCATCGCAGCCGTAAAGTAACCAAACAACCGGAAGCGGAATCCGATTTGCCAGGTTTTGATAAAATTGGTGACACAAGTATTTGCAAGATTCGTGCCAAAAATCGTAAGGCCAAACCACAATTATGGCAGCGAATACATTACGATGCAACTGATAAAGGAATTGGGTTATTGGGGTCAAAGAAAATAGCCTTCCAGAAAAACTGGCACTCAAGCCCAATGAATGATCGGAACGCTTTTACTGTTACTTGGCATCGTGACATCTGTGCGAAGTGCATCTTGTACAGAGGTATGTGATCTACACAATACAATCACATTCATGTTTTATTGTATTTCAATTTCGAGTTCAATTCGTTCATTCTAGGCCGTTGTATGGTTTTCGACTTGAATGTGCACGAATCATTTGTGTTACCACCAGAAAGGATATGGCCAAAATGTCGAGATGACCAATCGAGATGGCCAATCAAATGCTGTCGATGAAAAGTAGAGCGTAGATTAAGAGAATAAAATAAAACATTAACGATTAGTTATTATCAAAGGTTGATTTTTGTGGCTTTGTACATATTAAAACGTGTGTGCAAATACACGATGTAATACGGGTTAAACCCGTAGGTAAGTTGTTGTATGTAAGATTTTCTCAGTCAGTTGGTCAATTTCAATATCCACACCAATATTTACCAAAGTCATAAATGGACCTAGTTCAAGTGAAGCGTACAGTTGGATGATACTCGAGGTGGGTCCATTTATGACCTTGTTTCTCACGTGATTTGTTATTTTGTTATCAATTGATTCATAATCGTTTTTATTTCCTTCTAATTGATTTGTTTTTACCGTTTTTTTCTACTTCCATTGTGACGTTAAAAATGACTGAAACTACACACAAATGCGGGCCTTAATTCGACCGTTTACATACGCTTGGTAATGGATGTATTTGCGTCAACAATTGTTTCTTGGGATTTTAAAGCCGGAAATCCATATACTGCCGCCGAAGCCTTATTAATGTTGCTCGAATCCTCCCCTGAACCGACAACTAGCCCTATGGAGGAGGAATGTCTCTATGCGGAATCATTTGACAAATGCTGTGAAGTAATCAAAGTATTATCCGGACCCAAAAAGAATACGTTCCTATACATTTGCATGTTTTTAAACGAATTGCTGAAATTCAACCAGCAGAATCGGCTCGAATCGATTAAACTTGGTACATATTTATTTGAATCCATTACTTGACCGTTTATTAATTTAATGCCGTTCTTAATTTCAAACTTATGCAAATGGTGTTTTTCTTCTTTTTTTTCATCAATTTCAGCCACAATATTTGGGCGCGTTATGTTGGATCGCAATGGAAATTCGTCAAAATCCATATTTCGATCACTAACGGAAAAAGATCGCGATGAACGACGAACAGCATTCATGCACAAATTTTTGTGCAATGACATCAAAGATTTTGCACGCGATGTATTGACAGCACCCATGTAACCATACAAATTTGTTGATCTGCCATAGCCATTGTTGTCTACATCAACCCTAAATAATAAAAAACAAATCGACAGTATTGACTCAATTCCATTTGTTGGGAGGAAATACCTTCTTCCTTTCCAATTGGCAGTATTTAGAATGGCTCTAAAATCATATGATGTTTTCCATGTATATGTACATAGACAGTTTCCCTGAAATTGAAAAGAAAAAAATGGTAGTTTTCAATTTAAAGAACATAAAATTCTGTTTCAAATTATGGCATTAATGTAAAGAATCGATTGATATTGGCACGTCCCGAAGCAAAAAACACTTTGAAGCAAAAATTGTCTAATGTCTAAATATTGAATTAGTTTTATTGATGTGAACCGAGCCTTATGACATTTGACGTTCATTTCATTGGTTTTCGAAATGTCATAATGTCATAATCGCCGGTTTGCTCATATCGAGAACACATTTGGCGTTGTAAACACCAAGTCAATAAATCAATCGTACATTTCATTACAATAAAAACTACAGCAGTGTGAATTCCAATTCAATGTTTTAATTTTCCTACGGTTTCGCTTATAATTCATATTATTTTCGATACACGTGCGTTTTGTATCAATTTGATCCGGCACATTGTTGAATTCAAGTGACTTGAGTGTGCGTATACTTAATCATTTTAATGTCTTCTTATTTTGAAATTCATTTTTGTTTCATAGCACGTAATATAAGCCATTTATAACGTGAAATATATTTAAACGAGTCTAATAAATATTTAACGTTTAACATTTGAACAGTAATATTACATTTTATGGAAAAAATAATGAATTTCACAATAATTTTGCAGTACATAATTCTGTTGCGTGACGTGGTAAAATTCATTTCAAGCGGTGATACCCAATATGAATTGGTTCCATTGTTCAGAGATGAAGAGAAACAGTTAATCACTTCTCTAAATCACTGCCATTGTTATCAATTCGAAGATTTTTGTCACTTTTGTGTGTTGCATCAGTGTGTATACCAAAAAAGGCGATAAATTCTCGTTCTGTTTTCGTTGGAACAGATTAAATTTAAGTTTCAATATTATTCGTTTTCAAACTAAATCGAATGTGTGTTTTTTTTTCCTTTCAGTAGGAAAATGGCGAATCGTTTCAAGGCATCCATTCCAGCGAAGGGAGAAACGAAGGACGAAGAAATTACGACGATCAAATGCGCGCTAAAGACAATCATTCGCCCACAATACCAGCAAGCATTGATGAGCAAAAAAACGGATCTGAGTTTGCAAGCCACTTCAATGTGCGTCTTGGGCTCATTGCTATTCTTGTTTGAGGTGCAAAAGGCGTTCGAATATAGGCGTCGAGAACAATAATTTCGCATTGTTTGGTGGAAGTGGAGAAGATAAGATCAAACTCTGCTTTGAACAAGTGCTATGGCACAACAATCAGCCACCGAAACCGAAGTCAAAGTATAAACCAAGAGGAGAAAAGCCACGAGGACCACGGGCAGAGCTGCCACGTATCGATCCTGAATTCAAAGCAATCGTCGAAGGTCTTGACGACTACCATCGTATCGATTGGCCCAACAACAAAGATTTCTGCAATGGCCTTAAGCATTTGACCAATCAGTACACAGATAACGTCGTCACCAATTTAAAAACTCACGCCAACAAACACATCACCCAGTACTTGGTACTAAAAGTGTTCGAATTGAACTCAAACTTGGAAGAGGATGGAGAGAAATTTTTGCCAAGTGACATCGAAAATGTTGTCAAGTTGATCATCAAGCAAAAAGATATCAAAGTGCCACGTCGCGATCCAAACAAACTCGTACGGTGTGAGATGTTGTATGACATGGTGAAGGACCTGAATCCGTTTCCAGAAATCGATTTGCATGACCTTACAACTGACCCAAAACATTGGTATAAGGCCATGCCAATGTACCTATCCATGCAACGTGAGATAGAAGAATACCATGCGATGTGGCCGCATCAATACCGATCGAAACGGAAGAAACGAAAGCGCAAAAAGTCAAGAAGAAAGGGGAAGCGCAAACAGATGCTCGACAACCCAGATTTTCGGCCATTGATTCGGAATTTAGTAGTGGTCTCGATGTGTGATTTCCGGCGTACACACTTCAAAATCGATTGTTCATCCATGCGACAGGTGTTGTCTTCGCAAAAATTGTTGCCGAAAGTGGAAATTGAGAATAAAAAATTAAGAACAAGCACAACAATTATTCCAGAAAAGGATTTCAACCGGGACAGAGATTATTGGTGGAATCAGTATTTTTACATGCGAAAAATTCGACGATTCTTACGTGGCAAAAAGCAGTTTGACTTTTCCATAAACACCGATGGAATCTCTGTGTCTCTCCAGTACTCGGCCAAAAAGAAGACAGATAACAAAGAAATCGACCAAAAATCTCGCATCATTCAGAAGATTGAGGATGGCACAATCAAAAATTTTTCGGACGTTGATTCAGGTGTGCGAAGTTGGAATACCACAACAACACACGACATTGAAACTGGCAAAGAAGTAAGTTTTGTATACATTCGAATAAGTTGTGTGTATTTTAATAGAAAATGCTTAAGTGCCAAAACTCAATAACTATACCTTTTTTTCTATTTATTTTTTCAGACCAACTTTGTAATGTCGAGCAAGCAATTCCACTGGCAAACAGGTCAAAAGGTGCGAAATGCCAAAGCAAAGCGATGGACCAAAAATTTCGTCGAAATGGAGCGCGCAGATAGAGAAAACCGTGATCTGTATCCAGTGATGCCGTCGCCAAAAAAGCAGGGAGTGTAACTCTGAGGAGGAGGAATGGTGAGGAGGTGAATGAGGAGGAGGAGAGCGCTGAGGAGGTTCCTCCTCCTTACATGAGGAGGATATGAAAATTACCAAAATTTAGGCATATAAATTTATTTTAAACACTTCTATTGATTTTGATCGTAGCTTTTCATCGTTGGCATTCGTTCCAAATCAATAAAAGTGTTTAAAATAAATTTATATGCCTCAATTTTGGTAATTTTTATTTCCTCCTCATGTGAGGAGGAGGAACCTCCTCAGCGCACTCCTCCTCCTCATTCACCTCCTCACCATTCCTCCTCCTCGGAGTTACACTCCCTGCAAAAAAGTCAATGTGGCTGAACTACATCAAACACCGAGTCAAGATGATGAAGCATGGAATCTGCGCTTACTCAACTGCCAAGTACACTCGACTCGCCTTGGACAAACACATCAAGAGCAGTAGTGTTGTCGACGAATGGGTGAATAAGGTGACCGATAAAAAACCGACTCTGGTTTTTTTTTTTGCTGATGGCGAAGTACCACCTGACGGCAGAATAAGTATAAAGAAACATTTGCGGTGCCCAGGGGTGCGTAAGACTTTGAGGTTAATAAAGAAGCGCCGAGATTGTTTCATACAATTGGTGGACGAATGGGGAACATCTCAAACAGACGCAAGATGTATGAATCGATTCGAAAACCAGAGAAAAGACGCCAGATTCAAGAGATGCCGATGCGTACCCGACGCCAGAACATTGCTGCCAACGAAAATTGTGTCAAAGTTGGGCAAAACGGATCTATCGATTTACCGACAGTTACAACGCGCCATTAACGAAGAAGCATCGGAAGAAGACGAGTGTTTATTCCCAAAAGTAAAATGTTACTACAAAAACTGGCGATTAAACCTCGAATGCTCTGTGATTTGGCATCGTGACGTCGTGGCTGCTAAGAACATTCTACTGAAAGGTAAGGCTAATTGACGCACAATTTCGATTGAATGATTTTTTAAGAAGGTTCATTTGTTTAATTGTTCAGGACTATGGACATTACTGGGACTTCCGATACCGGAGGCGATCAATAGGTATTGGCGCGAAGCTGTTGAAGCAGCCGCTGCTGCTGTCGCCATCGTGGATAATGATGTAGAAATGTTCGAGTACGACCAGCATCCAGCTGATCATGCTGTCTAATCAGCACATTGCAAACAAAAAAAAAACAAATGTAACATTAGTTATTAAAGGCTATCCCGATCATGTGGGATAGTTGCGTTGCAGCAAGTTGACTCCCCATCTGGTTGATGTTAACTGCGCAGGAGTACTTTAGTGGGTGTTTTTAGGTAAGCATTATTCGATTTTGCAAAGAGTTTTTTGCTTCGGGACGTGCCAATATCAATCGATTCTTTACATTAATGCCATTATTTGAAACAGAATTTTATGCTCTTTAAATTGAAAACTACCAATTTTCTCTTTTCAATTTCAGGAAAACACCCTAATTGTACATAGACAGTTTGTTGCTCGGATTTCATGAATGTTCATCGAATAATAATAAATGTAACCGAATGATATGATTATTGTTTGAAATTTCCGCACTTTCAGTCGTGTTTGGTATATGTCTCTTTTATGGAAGTTATCTGAAATAGGACGTTGTCGGGGATTTCGTCACTCAAAACTGCTATTATTTCATCACAATAATAGAGTGCCGGTTAAAGAAAGTTGTGGTTGTTGATCCAGGAATAACCAAATATTTTCATTCCGACACTTTGGTGATCACTTACGCTTTATTTTTCAATGTATATGATCTTCAGCAATAATTGAAAAGCAAAGCACCAGAGAGCAGCGCTTATACATCATTTGTTGAGGTAAGGCCCATCATTGACGTCAAAGTATGCTTTGCTGTTCTCCGTTGCCCGTTCAGATCATGCGAATTTATTCTCCATTGACACAGATTTTATGTCATCGTGTAGTTTTGGTTAAATGGTACGTATTTTATTCTCTATCTGCCTCTCTTCTCTTCTCTTGCATATTCTCTTCGCCTTTTGTTCGTTCAAATCTTTCGAGAAATTTCTCCGTTTTACATAAACAAAGAAAGAGAGAGGGAAAGAAACACAGAGAGAATGTAAGATGCAGAAGAAATCCACAGATTATTGCATCATTTAATTGGATGCGCTACTTGTGCCGTAAACACGTTCAAAGTAGGTTATCTCGACCAGTTTAACATTACGGTATTATTTGTAGTACAATACGAATCAGAGGTAAAGCGAGAAGCAAGTAGAAAAAAAGAAATGAAGTAAAATGGAAAGAAGTTACAAAATGAGAAAATCGAGCGAAAGCTGGCGATGATTATTTAAGAAATTATGTGCCCTTTTCGATTTTCGACAAGGAAATTCAATCAAATCATTGCAGTACATTGCATTAAGATCAATATGTAACAACTTATCTTTTTATGGATTTTCTATGAAGAGTTCTATCAATCTGCACTATTTTTCTATCATGTTCAGCGTTTGATGTTTGCTATGATGCTATTGAAGCAAATGATGTAATTACGAAGAAGATCCACTTGCAGGCCGGTTGATGTGTCATAAAAGTCAGCTGATTTAAATATTCTTTCTAGCGGGAATGCACCAAAAAGAGCGCTCAACTTAACGGATTAACGGCATTTTTGACGATTGGTCCGTCGATTTTTCCCTATGAGTATATATATATATATATATATAAATGTGTGTGTGTGTGTGTTCAACTGCCTTTATCTCAGACGAAACCGACATAACATTAGCATGACCTGGTTATGTGATCCAATGAGCAAACACATACAAATACATATTATGTCTGCCATTAGATGTCATATTTTGTCCAAATCGATTGAAATAAACACTAAAATTACGTATATTCGTTAGCAGATAATGTTGACGATGAACAGCGAAGAATGTTGAAGAAAATAAACAATAGGAGACGAATCTCAGAAATATGTAGATAAATCGAATATAGTGAACTTCACATCGTATTGGTGACGTGACTAGTTGGCGCTCTAGAGGAACCAAGTCTACGGCGAATAACATCTAGCAACATGCTACGGTGCGGCCCACATTTGTAGTAAGTATAAATAATTTAACACACAAATAAAACAGTTGGCAGCGTCGAAGAGGATGGAAGAAATTCTGCTGAAAAATCAATTAAATCCAAAGCTGACATTCAATTGACGCATCGGTTTGCCCATTGAAATTCGGTGAAATCCGTTCTGATTTATGTACCAACATCATCCGTAACATTCAATCGTTTCAACCAAAATTTGTTTTAATACTTATTATATTATATTTGAATAGAAGAGATTATAGTCTAAAAGTTCATAGGTTATGCTGGAGTACTTTGATTCAAATAATAATTTTCCGGCTAAATATCGGTGTCTTGGGTTCACCATTGTCCATAACAGTGCGTCCAACATGATTTGGCACAGTCTCATATCATTCAGAGTTGTCGATGGCCATCAAAATGGTTTTAACCAATTTAGTACATTTTTAGTACTATTTTAGTACTTTTAGTAAGTAACATGCAAAGATCTTAAGCAGTACTAAAAAGTTGCTTCAGACACCATTGCTCTATTTCGATCAGTTGAGGAGTTATAGGACTTCAAAAAATGCTCAAAAGTGTTGTTCGGTAGCTAAAATTGATTTTTAGCCAGTAAAGTGGACTGGATGTATTTTTTTCGAGTTAATATGTTCTAGAGAGTTGTTTGTTTTTCCTTTGGCTATATTTTTGTCAAAGAAAATAAGTAAAAAGAATGTATACTGCGTGGGGTATGGTCGAAAAACTGAAAAAATCTACCTTTTTCGGACATTTGTTCCCCTAGCACCCACCAAATGTTATTCTTTTGGTCATCTTGTTCACAAAACTTGTTCATTGGACCTTTAACTACAACTTTGCTTCAGACAGTAAGATGTTGTCACCAATACTAGATGAGTTATTGATCAAAAACTGAAGAAGTCAACTCTGGAAAATCCTCTGAATCCCAAAAACTGCCTTGGTCGATAAAATAAAAACCGCTACTAAACTTTCAAAACCCAGCTAGGGTTTTGCTCACCTATGGTAGAACTAACACCTCTGATATGCCAAGTCCCGGTTGTCTGACATGTGTTGCACTGTGTAATGAAAGCACAATTTAATTAGCACAACTAAAATATATTAATGTGAGTGGAAATTCAACAATCACAATCGAATGAAGAAAAAATACATATATCTTTTTTGCTTTATACCATACAAAAGATAATGATCGTTTCGATCGCGTAATGGTAATCCCACCTTTTACGGTACTTTTTCGTTTCTTCTGCCATCTCCATAAGAGATCATTGCAATTTTGAGGCAATTATCAACATGAATTTCGGCTAGAAATGAAGTTGCGTTTGTATTTAATGGTATCCAAAAAATCGAAATAAAAATGTTTTTAGAACAATACTTTTAACCATTCTTTTGATCATAAAAATCATGGAACCGGTAATCGAGCTGGCCATCTGTATGTGAAAATGAAAATGGGTCAGATTAGAAGAGTTGGTGGTTTTTTGTTTTGTTCTGTTTTTGGAAAGTGTTACAAACGCTTTCCAGTTATGTTTAGCACCACATTGTTTTCGCTTCTGTGTTTTCTTTTTCAACGCGAAAGAAAGAAAAAATCGGAGGAGATTTTTTCCCTTCATACAATTCTTTTGCGATAAGAAGCACTGAACGATGGAGATGTCAAATGAAAACGTTGTTTTTTAAAGAAAAACACCGTGGTGACATGTTCAAATGTATGACTTTTTATTAAAATCAAATAAAAAGAAAGAATGAGTTCATGAATTACTATATCGTGCGGCTCATAACCCAGATTCTGTTCTTGTATATGCTTTCTTTTCTTTTCTTCTCTTTTCTTTTCGTTTCTCCAGTAAGCATGCTTATATATACTTTTTTTATTATTATTGTTCATTATATGGGCTAAATTTGCACTGGCAAATTATGTATACACGTTCGTGGCCTTTCTCTTTGCCACAATTGTTTTGTTTCCTTTCTTTTGCAGCGTAGCTACTTCGTTCTTTCTTTTATTTTTCTTCTCTTTTTCGCTCATTTTCATGTTGAAATGTTATTTTGGACCATAGCGAGATGCTGACACATTTGTTTAGCATTCGTTTCGCCAACATTCATGAGGTATTTTTTGTTTCTTCTACAATATTATGAATTTTTTTTAGATTATTTCACTGATTCTATCATAAACATTTGAATTTGATTATCATTGTTATGTTGGTCATTCTTTATCTTCCAAACCATTGTGCAATTTTGACATATGTTTGAAGAATTCGCCCAAAAGTCTCTTTTCCTCTCTCTCTCAATTTTGGACAGATACTGCTGTGTTAAATTGTACAATTTCTAATGGCATGTGGCGTGCAGTGGATGAAAGTTTTCTGGATTTTAATGCATCACATGTGCAGCACTTATTCAGCACCGATGCCATTCTGTATGCTTTACGCCCATAATTTACTGTTATCTAAATTTAACGTTTCATATGTTATTTCGGTGCAGTACAGTGCATAGTGCCATTGGAAAAAAAGAAATACGTGAAAGGAAACAAAAATAAAAATCAACATCAAAGAAGAAGAAAAAAAGAAAAGAAACGAAGCAACAAAACACCACCAAATGGAGGAAAAGCATTGAAAAAGAGGCGACGAGCAAAAAAGCGCAAGCACATCCATCGCTTGCATATATAAATAGCATTCAACTTGGAACATCAAGTACAATGTCAATGTTATGGAGCATTTATTGTTTAGTTTATAGCGCAGAGTGTTATATGCATGTCTATAAATAAATAAATATCCACGCGATTCGTTCACTCGCATTGCTAACGATACACATAGCTGTAACAGTCAATATACAATAAAAACAACAACAACAACAACAACAGCCAAATCCCACCGCACATGTCTGCCAACAACATTTTCATTTCAAAGCTTTGCGTCGATTATGCACGCTCGCGCGAATGAGATGCACGACATCGAGAGCCGTATGCTACTGCAATGTACTGGCGAATGCGACTTTATGGCTTGGTTGTTATTTTCACTGCTCTTTATGAAAAGTAGTTCATCAGCAAAAAGTGTACCAAATTGAATAATGAATACACAAACACACACACAAACACACAGAGAGAGAGAGACAGACACTCACACACAAACACACTCATACGGCTTTATGTGACCGATACTGAGAAAAATGTGTGGCTGTTTTCTATCTTCGTATTCACCTTTGAATCGGCATAACCACGATATGATAGCATGATTATATGTTTTTGGAACGATCAAGAGAAATGTTAATGTCCAAACGAATGCTAAATAAAAAAATAATCAGAAATTACGGCAGTGCTAGCACCAAACCCACGAAGTGAATGAAACAGAGAAGAGAAAAAAACAAAAGTAGCGCAAGACAAGCATGCAGAACATAAAAACGTTGAAAAT